TTAAGGAAAACAAGCCTGCCTTGTAATCCGACGGCGCGCGTTCGAGCCTACGTAGGGACCGAGTGAGTTTAGCTGTATCCTTGGTCCACGTGCGACTTGTGGTGGTTGCGCGGCAGTGAAGCCTCTGTATTGCGTACCAGCGTGCTGCTGATGCCTTTCTTTCAAGTGGTCTCTAGGTTTCATGCAGCCTCGGGTAGTCGAAATGTGCGTCCTACATGCTTTGTTGTTACCGCCAATGTATCGTAACCTAGTCAAATCCTGAATGGCTGTTCAAGATACAGTCAAAGCGATGGCGCCCTATCCGCAGTCTGTGCGCAGGCGGTAGCCAAAGTAGCATCCATAATCGTCCGCAACGGCTGCAAGGTAGGTTCACACAGTCTCCAAGGAGCTGGCGGTAGTCGGTGTTGCATTCCATCTGATACGCCTCTGTGCAGCCTGAAAAACAAGTGGCTTCGGCTCTTTATGGGAGCTAATGCGAATTCCTGTAGCAGGATTATACAAGATAAGCTGCCCTTATGGGTATCAAGGCTACCGCAAGACCAACGGATGCTGATGGTCGCGGATTAGTCCTGGACTAAAACTGTCTTGAGAATCCACAAAGTGCACTGAGGCCTCTGCCCTTTAGGTCTGTGGGACAACCCAGCTCCAGGAGATAGCAGATAAGGTCGCCAGGCTGTGGGTAAGGACGGCAGTTAAGGTGCCTAATGTACTAGCCGTAGTGCGAGGCGCCCCATGCGCAGGATGTGGTGATTGCCCGGAAAACCATCGATGCATCCGGCCTCCTCGAAGTAAATCAAATGGCGCCACTAACACTTTAGTCTACTAATTGTCTGATGCGGTTATAATAACACAAAATGAATGGCAGGTTGTGAGGGGCAATCTTGTCCCCTGCAAGATGGAATGAAACACAGTTGTAAAGAATGGATAGTGCTAGCGACATAATTACCACAGCCACTGGCTGTGTCCGTGACCCATGGGCCCGAATCGTTAGCTGGTGAGAGCAAGTTCGGATTCGACTAGATGAGAGAACGGGCGCTCCTGCGGAGCTTCAGTAGGATCAAACAGCTGTCTGTCGGGAATTCGCATACATAGTGGTTGTGTGACAATCTCCGGCTGCAATACATCCCACTAAAATTTACTCCACTCGCCCACCAGTTGGTTAACAATAGAATGAGTAAACCATGGTTACCACGTTTTTTGCATGCCCGACTGGAACCTGGTTGTTTCTCGCGCTTGCAAAATTTGCCTGCTTGGGTGAAGCCGTAACGATGATGAAAGTTTTTTATGATGAGGCTGATCGAATGGTCAGGTCGTGTTAGCAGGTTCCACCTGTTAACATGGAGCTAAGAGAATCGACCACGTCAGTGTTTATAAACGATGTTTGACTCAAGGTTACAGAACCGCCACAATAACCGCTGAGATCAAACTTCACCGCAACTTGACTGTTTTCCACTATGCGCTCTAACTCTCTCTCATTAGCCATTGCTAGAGTGGTGGTTTGAAAGAAGAGAGCCTGAGGCATTCCAACTTGATGCTCGAATCGTGCATCTAACACTGTAGCCCATCGCGAGCGCTCAGTAGTTTTGAGCAAATACTGGCTCATCAGTTGCCCGATGGCCCTTCGATTGTAACGTTTGGACACAGTCGCGCGAACCTGGATCGAGTTAATGGGATAGTGCCCACTTACCTGCCCTCGAGTGCGCGTCTTGACACTTCCGTTGAATTGATATACCGTATATTATTGAGACACTGGGAGTCGATCTTGTTGGTCCTCTGCCAGTACAGCATGGTCATGGTGGACTATTTCCCTAAGTGGTGCGAGGTCGTTCGGATCACAGTGGCAGCAAGGATGGGGGAACCAATAGGGAGCACCGAAACAACTGCGCTCTGTTAGGGACTCATATTTCCAGAGTTTGCTGTACGTTCAGTATAGACAAGACGCGAAGGACGGCTTACCAACCACAAGACAATGGACAATTCGAGCGTAGGAATCAGTCATTGAATTCGCTACTAAAGGCCTTATTCGATTAGAATATAAGTGATTGGGACTCTATGCTCTCCTCTCCCAGAAAAGTTCACTCTTCGACTACCCGTTCCGCAGCAGTCACAATAATTTGTGACAGAGTACGTGGCAGGCTCCTCGATTCAATTCACCAAACACACCAGATTGCACTCGTACATGTGGGGAACAAGCACCGACGACAGAAGGATTATTACGTTAAGAAAGTCTTCGCTGATCCTTTGAAAGCTGGTGACTAGGTTTATTTGCGGTAGGTTTAGGGTCCTCGAAGCGTAGTTACCATCGCTGGGTTCGGATTTGCACTCTTGCTTGTCAGTATATGGGGAGCTAGACAGTTTTCCATCACTCCCTCAAACTTTCAATTATTAGCCATTGCTAGTGTGGTGGTTTGAAATAAGAGAACCCGACGCATTCCAATTTGATGTTCGAATCGTGGTTAATAAACACGCATCTCACACCGTAGCCCATCGTGAGCGCGATGTCGAGTGAGCAGTAGTTTTGAGTAAATGAGGGCTCATCAATCGTTCGATGGGTCATCGATTGCAAAGTTTGAACACCGGCGCACGAACCCGGATCGACTTAATGCGACATTGCCCATCATCATCATCATTATACACATCAGCTAGAGGTGGGGAAACAACTCCGCTATTGTGCCGCAATACATGAAAGAAATATATACATATATACATATAATACAATACACAAAGGAAAAATAGATACAACAGTTGCATGCCAGCTGAGCTGCCAGCAACGGATAGGCATCGTTCCGGTAAGCTTCCAGCCAGCTACTAGGGAAAAAGAAAATTTTTTTAAAATAATGTTTTATCCTAGGGATGGGGAGGGACAAAGAAACTCACAGCACGAACGCCACTGAGGTCGGATCATTGCCATGTCAGCAAGTGTATCCAGCCAAACGTGTTCACCGTCTTTTGGACCCCAACCAGGTAGCCGTGAAGCTCCAACCGAGGCTAGCTCCGAAGTGATGAACTTCATTAACGATAATAGACGCACATAACAGGAGTTGAGAGCTAAATGAACCCGGTAGTGCTACACGGAACTACTCAGACCAAGGTGTTAATTCGTAACTTAAACAACCTCATATCACAAAAAGATGTGATGCATAGGCGTGGTTAAGTCTTTAAACTCCGTATACGGTACATTTATCCAAATAAAATCGACGACCAGTTGATGGCAGCGGTGCTATTAAGATGAGAGCAAAGGAGCCGAGTTACGAAGTGCTACTTGTCACCAGGTGCGGCCAAGATCGGAGGGAGAGAGAGAGATCATTACGATCGGGATGAGATTAGTCACGTGGGTTTCGTGAGCGCGATGTCCAGATATTGCTAGAAAGCTGTAAGCAACCGACGTGCCTATCCACAAGTAACTGGCAAATTGATGAGAGTAGCGTCCGGAAAGTGAACTGACTAAAATGGGCTCCAGTTACTAACTCACACATTGTCAAAGTCGAGGAGGGATATGAAAACGCAAGTAGATCGATCATTCACGCACCCGAAAAATACAAACAGGTGAAAGGTTTGGGCATACTATGAAAGAACACCAAATGGCAAGTGGTTATTGAAACTGTGCTCCAAACAATGAGCAATGAGTTATCACGACTAAAGAAGCAGTTGCCTGACAAGTCTCGTAGGATGAGAGGGGTAAAATTGCAATAGCAAAAGACAATGTCAGTTGTCTGTTTAAGCGTATATCGAGCGGAAGTCACTGAATAACGGTAGCGTAAAATTGTAACTGAATGCAAACAAGACCACATCGGGACAGTTTTATAGCTGATATATTTCGCGAGAGAAATAAAAACAAGAGTACTCAAGCATTTATCGCCTCCTTGGGTCTATGTGGCACATAAATAGGGTTATAAGGCGTGATTAATATATGCCAAAGTAGCACAGCTTAGGCCATGAAGTGAGGGGGACCAAGGGCAGCATCCCATCGCCTTTTGCAAATATCCAAGGTGGGGAAGAAACGACTGAGTTTGGGAGAGAGTTTCAGGATTGGATATTGCCAACCAGACTCTCAGACAGTGGGAGCCGATGTGACCCATAGCATCCGCTGGTAGATAGTCTTTGATGGATCAAAATAGACCACTTCGCTATAATCAGAAATCTATCACATCGAGACACAGTCAGACAGCCATCATACGCCCGGAAAAACATTGTATGGTCGCTGCATCGTTTTGCGGAATCGTGAGCAGTGCGCATTCCATCTGGCCTCTGCGGGATTAGAACCCAACTGTTACCAGTCCATGGTGAAGTCCACTGGGCTAAGGGAGAAGGTAACGGCGGACTAGATGTTAGATGTGTTATAGCGCCGCTCATTGTCCAATGGCTTGCATGACGCCGCCGGTATTGAAGCCATCCCACTCCCACTACTATCCCCTTGTAACCACTTCGCTTCACAGGACGGAGCTCAGGTGACTCATCCTAGATTGCGTTCGAGAAATTGCGGGACATAAGTCGTAACCGGCGTTAGTGGTGTGTTTGCTGTTATCTTCTAGCCGACCAAACTTAAAGTGTGCGTGAGGCGGAGTCATTAATGAAAGCATAAGGTGCTGCCCTATCTTCGTAGGGTTGTCCGCTGTTCACGGCCAATCAGCGCTGTTATGACCACGAATGTTGCACAGAGCATGAAGGTTTTACGTTTGGTCCACTTTTCTCTGTTGTAATTGCAGGGTGGTAGACTAGCAAAGCAGCAGAACACAGCAAAGACGTACTGCTTTTATTAGCCAACATGCTGAGTCTTCAACCATAAAGCGACACATAAACGCGTATTTGCATCATTTAATAAGCAACTTGGAGTTGCTGCATACAAAAATGTATCACACTGAAAGAAAATCGAATTCGCCATGGACGTTAGAAAGTGGAGAGGATTTAGCACCGGACATGACATAAATCAACGGTAGGAATTCATCAGTACTTGATCAATAGGAACAGAAATCACGGGTAGCGGGGTCAGAGTAATGGCTCTAACGAGGACACACTGCAGTGCGCCCACCATCCACCAGGAGTAAATCTCCAGTAGTGAATGAGCTCGCAGAACTAGCCAGGAAGGCAATGGCTGAAGCTACTTCTTCCGGTTCCCCGGGGCGGCCCAAAGGATGTGTAACTGCTGTATTTTTGATGAATGCGGCGTATTCCTCCTCGGACATACCACCGCGGCGTTGCAGAGGCGTGCGGATAACGCCGGGGCTGAAAAGGAAACAGAGAGAAATAATGGTTGAAATGGACAATCGTGACCCGAGTACTGTTGACTAATAGGTATCTGTTAAAGAAATGGATGTATTACGGCGATAAGTGATGGGGGATGATGGGGGGGTCACTGTGTCAACAGTTACTATGTCATGTCTAGTCAAGCGTCAAGTAATGGGAGCAACAGAGGAATTCATTGCGAGACGGATATGCAAAGAAGTTGACCACAGTGCATGAATAAACCCCAGAGAAGCAATCGGGCAAATTCGGTGAGACAACTGTGAGACGATTACTGAAGAGTACGGAAGCAAATGGCTATGTCTCTCAACCCGGTATGAGAACTGACAATGAGGAAGAAATCGTTGGGAACAGCAAAGTTAAACGGAACAGAAGCAATGTGCCAGAATAACATGCTGGAACGATGTGATGCTGCTATGGAGAAGTAAAGAATGCGATAGAACAGAGAACATTAAAATATGTCGTTGGGGACCTAGATATCACTCGTCTGTACCTAGCAAACTGGTGACCAAATGCTTACTATCTTGTTCAGTTAATCGGAGCAATTGAATTCGAAGCAGTCAATCAGAACGATACCGTGCAACATACAGGAGCCACTGCATGAGGCTATACAACAGCATCGTAAGAAAGTTACATGAAATAGATGGATAGACCTTGAGAAATGGTAACCGCGAGTGGGTGTGAAGAAAGTAGCCTAAATGGTGGTAGTGCTGTTACTAGAGAGTAAAATAAAAACGCGCAGACATCAGCAAGGCGAGAAGATGAGATCCAAGAATCGCTGGAAAGATTGGTACACGGTGGGCACTTCCATCACAAAGAAACGCATTTGGGTTGGATAAACATAAACATATAAAAAAGGTACTGAAGGACCCAGTGAGATGATACCCTCCTGGGTAGGAGAAGGGTGCGAGACGCATGCAATATAGCAATGGAAGTAGTGACGAAACGTCGGATAGGTGGACTAGTCCATACATGGGACGCATAAAGAATGACCGCTGTGTGGTGTAGTCAGAAATACTGACTACTAACTAGCATGATCAACAAGCAAAGGTGGGGTAAGCCCTGTTTTCTAGCCCTGAAGATTGGGTGGTCAAAATTCCGTGGTATGCACCGATATATAATTTGATGATCGATGTCAAGTTTCAGCTCTCCCGTGGCTAGAATTCGAGTTAGGGATTTGGATGGACAGAACTAATCGTTATTCTGATTAAAGATGGGGACAATGGTAGCATCTCAGCTCAGGTACAACCAAGATCACCCCTGCCATATACAGAAGGTGAGACAACTGGATCAGGCCACGTGCCGATAAAAGAGCCAATCTGCAAGCACTGTGTGCCGACTATGCTCCTGAACGGTAGGGGGCTCATGCAATTCAGTCACCATATCGAGTGACATCAGCGTGTGTGCAACGATGTGGTGCATGAGCGAGTACTAAGTGATGAAGATTCACCTAGTTTGTCGGACCAACGAGTTAAACAGAATACGCTGAGATGGCTCGGATAGGTGCTATGTAGGTTCGACTAATGTTTATCAAGATGAGCTTTGCTTATACGTAGAAACCAGGTTCGGGGAGACAGTCACAAGCTGATGACATAACCCAAGGAGTAAGTGTCATGACAGCGTAAGTTGCCAAAAATCGTTGCGAAGAAGACGTCAAGGCAAGCCATCTAAGTGCCGACCTCACTGACGCCATTTTCGACATGACAGCGCGCAGCCGGAACATAAGACTGGCTCATGAGAAGGAAATGCCACGGAAAACGTCGTTGCTCGCAATGACAAAGGATGTATGGATAACAGAGGCCTTCTTGTGCAGTTGTTCCGGAAGCGTCTCAAGTTACAAAGACATTAAGCATACTCCGATAGCCTGACGCAAACAAAACCCCTAAATCCACATAGTGCGCTTGCCTGTAACGCTACACATTTAAGGGAAGAATTCCGGGGGAATACCTCCACATTCAGAAAGCTTTTCGATCCTGTAGTGCCACTGATCCAACCCTCTTTGACCTTCTCTTTTTTTCTCTCAGATCGGCGGCCTGACAATCAATCAAGAAATTTGGACTGTTTATCAGATGACAATGACTTGAAAGAACAATAGTAACTATTATTGTTGTACTTCCTATTCCGATTTGTGTACCGGTAACTCCTTTTTGTTTGAATTACCTAACTTTTGGACTCTTGCCAATTACACGTTGTGTTTTGCCCTGACTTATCTCGTGTGCTGTGATCACTGGGACGCGTGCTGCCATCGTTATCAGTTCTTCCCTGCGTTTTCCAGCCATTGACGATCTTTCGTGCCCAACTCCTGGATTATTGTGCATTACATAATTGGTGACAGAGGTGGGATCTCGTCATGGCCTCCCGCGCAAATAAATCGAAGAACGAAGAACAGGGTGTTTCTGCTGCACATCCGTCAAGTTGTGAACAGCCACCGTTAGAACTGGGCCTTTGGCAACTGTCTCTCCGTCCCCCACCGGTCTTTGATGTTGACACTAACTTATGCAACTGGCGGCGTCGCGTAGAAATGTCTCTGGCTTGCGTCCCCGAAGAACACAAATCGTCGGTTATCATGAATTCACTCAGTGATCGAGTTCAGGAGAATTTGTTATCGACTGATATTCGCCCGGATGCCTCTGTCAGAGAAATCTGGAATCAATTAGAGGCACTTTTTCCAGACAAGGAGCACGGGTCGGCTACTCGATCCATATTCTGGAAGAGGTTTCGGCGAGAGGCAGAGTCGGCCGATGCTTTTTTGTGGGACCTTCGGGTGCTGTCGACCAAGGCTTTTCCAGGGAAATCAGTAACAGAAAGAGAGGCCTTCATTTTAGTGCGGTTTATTGAAGGCATCAACGACGATCGCACTTCGGAGCGTTTTATACGAGAGCCGCCGAGAGACTTAGCGACCGCAGCGCGGCTTGCACGCGAAGAAGAGGTGATCCGCGATAGGCGTCCGAAGGAGGTTGACAAGCTGATGGTTATTAGTTGTGTGCCGCCGACGATGAACCGGACTGAACCGCCTCACAGCCTAAGCTCACATACTTGCCGTCGTCGTTGTCCCAAGTGCCAGAATTCACCCCATGAGAAGTCAGTACGACGTCCCCGCAATTTCCGAAGGCGCAAACAATCACCGGGAGTGCGATTCATTGACGGTGTGTCAGAACTTCCTTGTGTACCTTTGGTGTCTTCTAAGTTCTGTGAATCCCCAACTGTTGTTGTAGTAATCAATACTCAGCGATTGCATGCCCTCATTGACACCGGTGCAGTAGGTAGCCTTTTAAAATCCTGTTTCTTGTCCTCCACAGTAGTCATTAGTCCCGGGCGTCAGATCAGAGTGGCAAATGGGATGGTTCTGCTTACTCATGGTGTTGCTACCGTAGATTTGCTGATCGGTCAAGAGCTTCTTTCTGATGAGTTTTACATAGCTGATCAAATTAAATGGGACGCGATACTGGGGGTTGACTTCTTAAGTCGGTATGCATGCGTCATCGATCTAACCTCCGGAGTTTTGACATTGGGTGGCAACCTGCTCCCTCTAAACTTCAAACCTAATAATGGCTACGTGAAAAAGCTTTTTACTCTGGGTGCTAGCACCGTGGATGTTGAAGGTGAGATATCGGAATTGCTCTCGTCTGTTAGCCCTACTGTCGACGGTGAAGCTCGGAAACGCCTGGAGAATTTACTGCGTTCACACAAGCACGCGTTCGCGTGGAAAGGTACATCTTTGGGTAGAGCGAGCGTACTTAAGGATCGGATTGAAACAGGGGATGCTCCACCAATACAGCAAGGGCCCAGGCGTGTCCCACCCGTGTATAGACAGGAATCACAGAAAGTGGTGGATCAGATGTTAAAAGATAATATCATACGTCCTTCGCGATCCCCCTGGGCTGCCCCTATTGTATTAGTCAAAAAGAAAGATGGAACACTGCGCATCTGTGTGGACTATAGGAAACTTAATGACATTACACGGAAAGATTCCTTCCCGCTACCTCGGATTGATGACACTCTGGAATCATTGCATGGCGCCACCTGGTTCTCCACATTGGATCTCGCCTCAGGTTATCGGCAAGTCGAAGTACACCCTATGGACATTGAAAAAACTGCCTTCGTCATACCCACAGGGCTATATGAGTTTCAGACCATGCCGTTTGGGTTGGCTAATGCACCAGCGACCTTCCAGCGACTGATGCACATTGTACTCAGAGATCTGCAGCCAAGCAAATGTCTTGTATACCTGGATGATGTCATAGTTCATGGACGTACGCTCGATGAACATCTCACAAATCTAGAAACAGTGCTGCAGTGCCTTAGTTCCGCAGGATTGAAGTTGAAGTAGTCTAAGTGTGACCTGCTGAAGAGAGGTTAAATATCTCGGTCAAGTGATCAGCGATTGTGGGATCCGGAGCGACCCTTCGAAAGTAAAGGATATCTTAATTTGGCCTATTCCCGAGTCCGTTGAAGAGGTTCGGAGCTTTCTGGGTCTGGCTTCTTACTACAGACGCTTCGTGAAAAACTATGCGGATATGGCAGCACCATTGCACCGACTCACGGAGAACGGTCGGCCTTTCCACTGGAGCCCGCAGTGTCAGAAATCTTTTGATGAGTTACGTCATGCTTTGGACAGCGCCCCAGTCCTTGTCTTCCCGGATGTGTCACCACAAGCTGCCCCATTCATTTTGGACACTGATGCTAGTGAGGTTGGTATCGGAGCTGTGTTATCACAGGTCTCTGGGGATGGTATGGAACCGGTTATCGCTTAGGCTAGCCGCAAGTTAACAAAAACTGAGCGAAACTATTGCACTACTAGGAAGGAAATACTTGCCCTGGTCACCTTCGTTAAACATTTTCGACATTTCTTGTTGGGTCGACACTTTATAGTCCGCAGTGATCATCAGACGCTCCGGTGGTTGCGGGAATTTCGCGAGCCCGAAGGGCAAGTTGTGCGTTGGCAAGAACAACTGCAAGTCTTTGACTTTGAATGTCAACAT